TATTTCTAAATTTTCGTCTCTTCTTTCCTTCCTTCCTTCCTTCCTTCCTTCCATCCTTTTTAAACAGAGCTCCTGAGAATGGCATAGGTAAAAGTGTGAACTGATGCCTGACTGCACCCAGTGTCTGCCTTGAAAGACTAGGAAATATTGTCTGTTACACTCAGACATATACATAACATGAGGCGCACACACTGTGCAGTGCAGCAGTCCTGTGCACCCCCTGTAAGCTTTTTCGTTACTGACGTTGTTGCTATGTGCCATCAAGAGAGCTCCTGAGAATGGCATAGGTAAAAGTGTGAACTGATGCCTGACTGCACCCAGTGTCTGCCTTGAAAGACTAGGAAATATTGTCTGTTACACTCAGACATATACATAACATGAGGCGCACACACTGTGCAGTGCAGCAGTCCTGTGCACCCCCTGTAAGCTTTTTCGTTACTGACGTTGTTGCTATGTGCCATCAAGTGTCATTCTCTTTAGTTGTAGAGAATGGAAAAAGAGGTCATGTGGCCATGCTCTCTCCCTTTGCTTTGATTTCTTTGCTTCCAGGCCCTCCACAATAGTGGGCAACCATCTCTTATAGATTTTGCCTCGATTATACTGGAAAAAGCTTAGATATTTGTTTCTCAATGCCAAGAAAGGAGAATCTTCTAAAGACACAGATTGAGTGTCCCTGACCTGTGAAAAGTAATGTTCACACAAGTATCTCTGATCTCTAGCTGGCGGTTCTGGAAGAAGAGAATAAGCAGTTGAAAGCTACTGTAGCTGAGCTGGAAAAGAAGCTTGAAGAGTCTAAGACAGAATGCCAAGAAAAAGAATTGCAGCTAGTGTGTCAGAAGAAGAAAGAAAAAGAACTGGTAGCTGCAGTACAAAGGTGTGAATATTTCATTTGTTGCTGGATACTTCATTTGTGCCAGGATACTTCAGCCTAGTTCTATGCTGATCTATTTCTAGTGATGCAGGTATCAAACTCCACTGCTGTACTACACAGAAGTACAATACATTTGGGATATGTCTACAATACCTGTCATCAATTTTTTTGGCCATGACCATAAACACAGTATGAAAGACATATAGGCTAAATCAGGATTGTATAAGTCACATTATGAACTTTATAAGGTGGTGTGTGAAGAATTGCTCCCAATCTGTGGCCCTCTTCATATGTACCAGGGCTCCCCAGGGGGCCATATGGCCCCTGTTGAAAATGGCTGGTCTAGAATAGATATGTCAACAGTTTTTTTTTTTTAAATGTGGGCAAGAGACCATTGCTGCTTTTGGTGAAGGAGGGGTGAAAACATTTAGTTGAGAAAAACTGCCTGTTGGCTAAGAGGGTTCGGATTTGATAATTTAACTTTGCTAATTTGCTAAATTAAAAAGCAAAAAGGCAAAGTATACTGCTTATGTACTGCCCCATAATGTTTAAAGCGCTCTCTGGGCAGTTAATAATTTAATTATGTAAGCGATGCCTTGCTCCCCACCAGCAACCTTGGTACTCAGTTTATTGACCCTGGAAGGATGGAAGGCTGAGTGAACCTCAAGCCGACTACCTGAGATTAAACTTGGACTATGAAGTGGAAATAAAGAACTACTCACCTTTTAAAAATGGAAATATTTTATGAAAATCTAGTCCTCAGTCACATGGATACCTGGGTTATTTGGAAGCCAGGCTACTACCAACTGAAATTGGCAGAACCAAGGTAAACCAGAGAAAAGGAGGGTTTTGTATCAAGAGAGTCTTTACAAGTGCAGAGAAAAATAGGCAATTTTACACCTGTGTCAGGATATTCTGTGCCCTTCAGTGTGCATCAGGGAAGACGTTCTTGGTGTTGCCCATTATTGGGTGAATATTATCTAATATACAGTATTTATTAATTGTACTGTGGTGCTTCTGACACAAACAAGGAAAGAAGTAAAAACAAGACAAAGACCTCTACTATTTTTAAGGCTAACAAGTTTTATTTGGCCACAGAATCTTATGCCAGATGAAACTTGTTAGTTGGAAAGGTTCCAAAGAACCCTTTATTGAAAGTTTTTTAAAAACATCTACAGTGGTGCCTCGTTTAACGAGTTAATTGTACTGTGGTGCTTCTGACACAAACAAGGAAAGAAGTAAAAACAAGACAAAGACCTCTACTATTTTTAAGGCTAACAAGTTTTATTTGGCCACAGAATCTTATGCCAGATGAAACTTGTTAGTTGGAAAGGTTCCAAAGAACCCTTTATTGAAAGTTTTTTAAAAACATCTACAGTGGTGCCTCGTTTAACGAGTGCCCCGGTTAACGATGAATCCGCATAGCGATGGCAAAAAAGCAATCGCTTTTGCCATCACTTTGCGATGTTGCCTATGGAGAAAAATCACTTTGCGATGTTTTCCCCATAGGCCCCATTTTCCCCCAGCTGAGTGGCGGGAGCCTCCAAATGACCGCTCCCGCTGCTCAGCTGGGGGGAAATGATGGCAGTAGCCTCAGAAGGACCCTTCCGAAGGGTCGTTCCAAGGCCACCGCCGGGATTCCCCTTCGGAGGGGGCATTTTCCCCGAGCTGAGCGGGAGCCCTGCCACTCAGCTGGGG